TGGTTGGTACTTTAAGCTACTATATCCATAAGTATAGGTCAAGTTCATCAGATTGTAGTGATTTACACTTTTTTTTGAAAAACATTTTTTTTTTTCCTTTTCTTTCCCTCTTTTCCTTTCTCTAGCTGGGTTCTGAACATCCAGCCATTGAAGCGAGGTCCAATGGGCACTATCTGCAAGTTTGGGCACCCTTGTGCATATCCCCTCACTTCATAACAATTGGATGCTTCACTCTCAGCTCTAGCCCTCCATGACCATGTCCTTGTCCATGAGTTCAAAAGTCCCCAGGTCTCACTGTACTTTGAGCCAACCAGCTCTTATCATACTCTAGGTTGATGGGGGTGGTCTATGTAACTTGGTCGGACTCAGCCCACCTCTTCATTGCTGCTTTTCCCCCCACTTCCTCTCACCAGTAGACCAATGTGGTCGCCAGCAAGCTTACACGCCTGTTCATGTATTCCCTTTGAGTTTCAGTCTTGGGAGGGGTTTTGTCCTGAAGGGACTTGATTGCTTGTCTTGATGGCTCCACGTGAACAACTTGCTTGTTCTTGTAGTAGCCAATCAGAGTGCCATTTTTGTCTTTGTTTTTGATTTTTCCTGCTGGTCTTTCAAGAAGTATCTTCTGTTCTTCTAGCTGCTCCAGGCTGGTCTGCTTGTCTTTTCAAGTGGGAATTTCACATCTCTGAAGGTTCTGGATGTGGGTCAGGATTCCACCTAAGGTCTTATACACTACAAAGGCTCTGCAAGAAGCCTCCTGGATGAGGATCAGGATTCTACCTAAGGTCTTATACCCTACGAAGGCTCTTCAAGAAGGCTCTTTCACTGGGCAAGTTCTAGCACCTCTTTTAGGTATTCCAGTCAGTTATAGGCAGTACCTTAACTCTTGATCATATTCTCAATCTCATTTTTTTCTGGTACAGTGACTCTATGTATTCCTTCCATCTTTTGATGTTTTCTGCATCATTCAATATTTTGCCCACACTCCTTCAGTATTGCGAGTCAAGGCTTGAATTTTTTCTTCAGTTCCTTCAGCTTGAAAAATGCTAAACGTGTTTTCCCCCTTAGTTTTCTAACTCCAGGTCTTTGCATAAGTTTGACTTTGTCTTCTAGAACTGACCTTTGAAATTTTCTGTTCAGCTTTTTGACCTCCTCATTTCTTTCATTTGCTTTAGCATCTCTTTGCTGGAGAGTCTCTTCTGACATCCATTTTGGTCTTTTTCTTCTTGCTTGTCTTCTTAGTGACCTTTTGCTTTCTTCCTGTATGATGTTCTTGATGCCCTCCCACAACTCTTATGTTCTTTGATCATTAGTGTCTAATTTGTCAAATCTGTTTTTGAGATAATATCTAAATTCAGATGGGATATTTTCAGGCTCATATTTTGGCTCTTATGACTTGTTTTAATTTTCTTCAGTTTCAACCTGAATTTACATATAAGTAATTGATGGTGTGTTCTACAGTCTGCCCCTGGCCTTGTTTTGACTGATGATATGAAGGTTTTCTACCATCTTTTCAGTTTGATTTCTCTGTATTCCATCTGTTGAGATCCATGTGCATAGTCACCTTTTATGTTGTTTAAAAAGATATTTGCAGTCTGTAAGTCATTGGACTTGCAAAATTCTATCATGGAACCTCCAGCATCATTTCTGTCACCAATGCTGTATTTTCCAAGTAGTGAGCTTTCTTCTTTGTTTCTGACTTTTGCATTCTAAACACCAGTGTTTATCAATACATCTTGGTTGCATGTTTGGTCAGTTTCAAACTGAGTAAGTTAGTAGAATTCTTCAATTTCATCCTCATTGGCTCTAGTGATTGGTGAGTACATTTGAATAATAGTGGTATTAACTGGTCTTTGTTGTTGTTGTTAAGTGACATCAAGTTGATTCCGACCCATAGTGAGCTTGTGAACTTGAACCTCCAACCCTGCAGTTCAAATGACTTTGCAGCCTGATGCATTTGCCCACAGTGCCACATCAGGACTCCAGTCATTCTTATAGATGTATGCATATTATCCTGCCACAGACAGCATTATACTTGAAGATACATCTTGAATATGTGCTCTTTGATGATGAATGCAACACCATTCCTCTTCAATTTGTCATTCCCGGCATAGTAAACCATGTGATTGTCAGATTCCAAATTGCCAGTGCCTGTCCATTTCAGGTCGCTGATGCCTAGCATATCGATGTTTATGTGTTCGGTTTCATTGCTGACAACTTCCAATTCTCATAGCTTCATAGTTCATACATTCCATGTTCCGATTATTAAAGGATGTGTATAGCTGTGTCTCCTCATTTTGAGTTGTGCCCCATCAGCAAAGGACGGTCCCGGAAGCTTTACTTAATTCATGTCCTCACAGTCAACTCAACTTCGAGGAGGCAGCTCTTCCCGGTTGTAATTTGAGTTCCTTCCAACCTGGGGCTAACCTTCCAGCACTGTCCGACAATATTCTTGTGCTATTCATATTGTTTCAATATTCTGATGTTATCTTATAGTGTTCTACTACTAATCATAAGGCTTTCAGTGACTAAACATTCAGAAGTCTCTCCTTCCTAGTTTAGCTTCATCTGGAAGCTCAGCTGAAACCTGTCCACCATGGATTACCCTTTAAAATACTGCTTGCATAGCTCCAGCATCACAGCAACATGCAAGCCACCACAGTACAGCAGACTGATCAATGTTTTTGCTCGATGGCAGTTGGTTTTTATTGTTCTAATATACTGTATATCCACAGTCTTGATATAATATATTAAATGACCACACTGAGGGATTGCTGATTATACAGAACCAAATAATTTCTTTTGAAACTTCAAAATTAAAGAATGTCAACACTTATTTTCCTTCTTAGAATTTGCACAGCATTAAGGATGAATAGTATAAAAATATTAAGGTGATAATTGTTTATGTTGATTATTAAATAGGCTTAAAATAGCTATAAAAACTAACATGTTGTTAGGTGAGAAGTTATTTGGTGGTGGTGTTGTTAAGTGCCGTCAAGTCAATTCCAACCTAAACTGTATAGGGTTTCCAAGGAGCAGCTGGTGAGCTTGAACCACCGACCTTGCAGTTCAAATAACTGTTATTTGATAGGAGGTGTCAAATTAGGTTGAGTCAAATAACATAATGTTACTTATAAAGGGGAAAATCATGAGCATGTGGCAAGCTGTGACTTATTTCATACAGTGCATTTAAATGGGCAAGTTCACTTTAAAAATCAGCGTGTAGATTTCTGTTTCTTAATCTCTCATCTGGAATAGCCGTTTGATCAATATTAAATACAAATGGTATTACAGTAACACCTCATCTGATAACATTGAAACAAGATGTTCCAGTTAAGTCAGTTTTTCAAATTGGTAAAAATGTACCCATTTAAGAGCTAAAACTTTTTCTCATTTAAATTCCTTAGGATCCATGTCGTTGTTGTTAAGAAGTGCCATTGAGTTGGTTCCGACTTACAGTGACCCTGTATAAGATTTCTGAGGAACAGCTGGTGGATTTGAACTGCTGACCTTGTGGTTTGCAGTCCAGTGCTGATCCTACAGCACCACACCAGGAGTACTTGTTGTTGGTTTTGTTGTTAATGTGTCATGGAGTTAGTTCCAACTCATAGTGACCCTGTACAGGGTTTCCGAGGCTGTAAGTTTTTACGGGAGTAGAAAGCCTCATCTTTCTCCCACGGACCAGCTGGTAGTATCCAAACTGCTGACCATGAGATTAGCAGCCTGACTCGTAACCATTACGCTACAGAGCTCCTTAGGATCCATATAAAACATATATTTTGCTATCATGTTTTATTGGGATATGTTTATATCTGACAAAATTATTCCAAAAATAACTTTGGTTGTTTGTTGTTAAGTGCCGTCAAGTCGGTTCTGATGCATAGAGACACCCTGTATAGGGTTTCCAAGGAGTGGCTGGTTAGTTTGAACCACCAACCTTGTGTTTCAAATGGACTTTATAGTCCAGTGCTTTATCCCATTAGGCAAGTCTTTTTACTTGGTTTTGTCAGAATCATTCATCACCTAGCTTGCCGTGTTGATGTTACAGTAAGTTCTCAGTATCGGATGAAGTCATGCTGCATGCTGACACTGAGCTAAATGGTGAGGGAGTTCTGACTCCTCTGTTCAGATTTCACCTCCAGAGTCTGCTTGCTGGTCCTTTTTCAAGCAGTCCAGCCTGATTCTTTAATTCTCTGCTTCCCAACTGCTTCCAGGCTATAGGAACTAAGATTGGAATAGTAATGATACAGACCTTTACAGTTTGCAAACGACTTTATGTGTCTTTGTTTCAACAAACATTTGCTGAGTATCTGTTACGCATTTAATAGTTTCCTGGGATCTGGGAACTTTTTTTAAAGAAAATTACCCTGCATTTATTGATCTCACATTTTATCAGAAAATAGCCCAGATACAAAGGCTGATATTCAGAGAGAATAAGTAACCCACCCAGAGTTACAATATTAATAAATAAATAAACCTAGACTACAGTCCAAGTCTTTGGACTCCCAGACTCCTTTTTATAGCTGTCAGGTTATGTTAAGACCGTATCAAGTACATGCATTTACTGCATGGACTTTTAAGATTTATTGTTGGCTTGTCCCATTTCATTGATGCTTGCTTTCTTGTTTCTGATGCTAGTCTAATGGAGCTTGGCATGTCTTGGAGTTATCTACAAATTAAGATTCTTGAGGTTGACGAACAAAAAGTTTATTGTATCTTTTGATTGTTACTGAAATGTGCCTTGATGAGACTGACTTTTATTTTAGCAATGCTGAAGCAGAGAAAGGAAGGAGGAGAAGTTGTAGCAAAAATTGTTCAATTACTAGCCTCACCATTTGCCCTTATAACCAGGAAAAAATTTAAATTTGTAAGTATACTCTTAAGGCATGCCCTTCTGGAAAAACAGAACCCAGCTGAAATGTTAGGAAACAAATCACTTAATTTGCATTTGACCGAGTTCCTGGCTTCCAATTTTCCACCTCACTGTTTTTGTCTTGTTTTAGGTTAGCTCCATCCAGAACCAGATGCAGTCCAAGGGAGGCTACGGAGGCGGGATGGCCGCCAATGTGCAGATGCAGCTCGTGGACACGAAGGCTGGATAGCCCTGGGCACCTCCCCGTAAGTATCTCAGGACTGGCTTCATCCTCGGCCACAGACAGCTGACACACAGACAGCTTTAATTAAGCTTTGGGGATAAAAGCATATAGTTTGTTCTTTCACTTACTCATTTTTAAATTGTGAACTTACTGGAAAAGTAAAAAATGCTTTAGTTAGCCAAGCCTTTCAGAGGATGACCCTAGGCAGTTGCTGCATTTTGATATTCAGTTTCAGGTTGCCCTTTCTCAGGAAGAACTTTCATGCTTCAAGATGGCTGGGTGGAGAGGAGGCTTTGCGTGAGGTTCTGGTGACAGAATGCCTCTACGTGTCCTTTAAGTAAGAGATAATGTGGGGATTCTACTGAGGAGAGAAGTAGTTTTATATTTTAGCTCTGGTTTATAAACCTTTATATATTAAAATTTATCTTATAAATTAAAAAAAAAAAGATAGCTTTTAAGAAAGGATGAACCCTGAAAGCATAAAAATAATTTGGCTTTTTCTCTTGATTTTATAGGTCATTTTGAATTTCTGTATTTTCTCTTTCCATTATTCTTTATAATTTTTTTTATCTTGTGATTGCTTTTCTTTTTTTCTAATTGCAAAAGAGAAGTGTGATGGCGTCTTGTTCACCCTCTAGTGATTGCTCCAGTGATGCGTTACTGTTCCGCTTTGAAGAAGCTATTGTCGGATGAATACTACGTTTCCCTCAGCTGGCGTGCATGCCTTTGGACTCATGGACAGAGTTCTTTGGATTGTGGCTTAACTTTCCGTTTTTAAATCAATATGGATCTTAACTCAGCATGATCTTTTTTGTGAATGCTAGCACCATTTTGAAATCCTTTTTCCATGTTAAGCATTTCTCTTTCCACTTCCAGTCCTCCACCTTATGATTTTTATTGGTAAGCAAGAATCTACTAGTATCTGTTAACCTGTCACCATTTATGTATATTTTGGACGGTATGAGACCCACAAGCACAATGATCCTTTTTGTTCATTTGAAACTTCAGCAGAGTAGATCTCAGCATGCATTATGGAGTTGCTTTATATAGAAGCCCACAGAGTGCTGGAAATTGGAATTTTCTTTGCTGCCATGGGCTGACGATACTGCTGCTATTAAATAGAGGAAGGTTAGCTGTGGCACCAAGTCACATGGGTTTCACAGGAAAAGATAACTTGTAGCTTATGTAGAAGTATGACTTTTGGATCTATTTGATTAGAACTGCAATAAAAGAAAAGCTTGCATTCATAAGGCATTCATTCTGTTGTAAATGTTCACTATATTTATTTTGAGAGCAAGGACCTGTGACTTGAGAGCAAGCTATGGTATGGATCTGAGTGTGTGGTTATACTCCTATCCAGTCTGATTCTGAGCATTGTCATCCTGTCAGCTGTGTATTCCTTTGTGTACTCATTCTCTTGTATTTTCACTTGTTTTTATTTTATGTTTAATATTATGTCATCTAATTGTTCCCAGAAATAGTGTGTTCAATTTCCAGCCTATACCACTAACTGCAGGCTGCCAGAGTCATTGACCTTGCTGTAGTTCACATATTTGGGAGCCACGGAAGTTGCCAAGAGCAACACACTGACCTGGCTGAATCATTGCTGGTGAGAACAACATGAGCGATGACTTTCTATGGTGTTGGTTAAAAGCTTTTGCTCAGGTTCCTTAATATAGTCATCCTTCACAAATTGTGGGGGATGTATTTTAGTATTAGACAACTTCAGATATTTTTACCAGTGCTTCCCTTTCCCTAAACATGAAAACATTTAATAATCATATGTCCAGTTCAACCGTATCTCACTACACATGGTAGGTTAACGTTTCATGTCACAAACAGGGCTTGGTTAAAAACTTATTGTAGACCATAAGGAATTAGATAATTGAAGGAAGACACAAACTGTCATCATTTTCTCGTGTGCCTTTAATTTATTCCTTTTCCCTCACCTTAGTCCCAGGTTCTCATGAAAGGTAACTGGACAAATGTTAGGTTGTAAGCAAAACGTGAAAGCATTTCTCCTCTCATGATTTTGAACTTTATTTGCCCGGGACTGTGGTCACAAATTCTCTGTCCTTGTGTTTCTGCAGTTTTGAGCCTTCTTAGGCGTCATTCCCAACCACAGAGAGACTCAATCTAAGAAAAATGTTTCGACTCTTAGGAGTCACATGCTTAGCAATCAAAGTAGTTGTTTTGCCACTGATTAACTTCTAAGCTTCAATTCATCTGTCATCATTTATTTACTGTGTGTACCGTGTGCTCTGGGATTTGCCTGAGTACCATTGTCATTCTGCCCAGCCAGAGCCGGAATCCGTTTCCTGCCAGGGACTCTGCCGCTTGCAAGCTCTCTAGAAAACGGATTGTATTTTATGGGCATTATCAGCACAGATGCTACTCACTCTTCTCCTGTTTTGATTTTTAAATTAGCACAAGTTTTGCACTTACCACATAACTCCTGGGGCAACAAAAAGGAGCTATGTATAGTCTCTTCTCTCTAACCCATCATTTTATTTTATTCTTTTTCTCCCTCACTCTACTATCTTTTTTTGCTTCTCCAAGGACCAAATCTACCAGTGAGTGCTGGAGGTAGGCTGAGGCTAGACTCTTACACTTCTACTTGTTCTGCAGCTACCAGACACTTCACAGACACAGTAGCCGCACGGTGTGCAAGACCCTATACTAGAGCTCCTGGAAGGTGTCAATAAAGTCAAGAAAACAAAACAAAAGTTGGAATATTAATGTCGGGCATATAATTGTTTTAGGGAGAGTTGAGAATATTTCAGAGTGTGGAGGAAGGCAGCTTTCCCACATTCATAATTTTAAAGTTGTAAATCTTAGAGGGTCTTGTACCACCCTATCCCCTATGACAATGTATCTCATTTGTAAAAGGAAGCTAATTAAATAAATAGGCTTTTCTACTCAGAATTCATCAGGCTGTTATTACTTTGCCGAAGTACATGTTAACAACTGTTACGCATGGGATACCAAATGAGGATTTAGCTGATCACATGGATTCTGTTAACAGTGATCTGCATCCTATAAAAGAGGTACTTTTCCAAGATGCAGGCGTGAAGCGGTGCCAATAAGCATAAAGTAGAATTGGAAATGTTAACTGTAGTTATTCGGGTTCAGCATTTCCCAGGCAGCATTACCAGTGGGCCTTTACAAATACTTTGTGAGTTTACTAGCTTTCTCGTTTGTTCTTAAATTATAGCAGTTTCAGTATAGAGAGCAAATTTGCCTTGATTTTTATTTAAAACAAGGTCTGCTCATCCCCAGAAGATAAAATTGACATATTTTTATAATATAAGCATACTTTTTTTGTACATTGTGTTCATTCTTGAAAAAAGTGAGTTCAGTGTTGGCTTGTAGATATTAAAGAGAGAGTATTGATTTTGACTTAATAAATGTTTTCTTTCAAGCCTGGTTTGGTATTTCCATTCTTTCAATTCACTTGGCTTTTCTTTTGTTTCAAGGTTTACCAGAGTCCATATAGAGTACTTTTTTTAGCATACTGATATTTTCAGTTGTGGCTTCTATCGTGCAAAAATAATTTACCACTTTTATCCTTACAGGGGGATTTAAATGTCAAGGATTGCAATTTTAACTTTACAGTATACATTATGATTTAACAAGTGCCTCCTCAGAATGTACTTTTAATGGTTGGAAATAAGACTTTATAAGAAAAGAACAGGGTCACTATGAGTCAGAACCAACTTGACGGCACGTAACATCAACATACCTATATATGGTGGGTTAAAAGTTATTTAGGACCTAGCTTCGATGACTTGAAGATCACAACTCCACTTAAAAAAGATTTTAAAATTTTTGATAAAAGAAACAAGTGTAAATTGCTACAATTTAATGAACTTGACTTATACTTATGGATGCAGTAGCTCAAAATACCAATTGAGAGGAAAGATGTCTTCATCCTACCCTCTCTATATGCAAGGGTGATAGGGACAGGCATCTTACACATTGGCTACCTAAAATTGGGGAACTATAAAGGCACAAAGTGACTAGCTTACATGTTTTCAAGAGGGAGTTTAGTTTCAGAGTATGCAGGGGAAGGTAGAATCCTCACTGAATAGTTTTCATCTTATCTAGAGAAAGGAAATGGGAATAAGATGCTTAGGATTCAATAGTGAGTGATTGGTATCATGACTAATTGTAATTGTCACACTGTATAGGTAGAAGTTTTATAACCTAACGGGGGAAGTACATTCCAGGAACAGAGGACCCTAGGACCATCAATTAGGAAGAGCATGAGTGGAATGTGGGACCCTTTCCAGAGAAGCAACCAGAGATGAGGAAATGGAGAGAGAGAACAGCTGAGGACTCTAGATTCATGAGAGGGACTGAGAGCTGGCGGCCAGGAGGCAGGTTTACAGAAGGTACCCTTTGGTTGTTTAAATGATTATATATTCCTGAGTATTTTGGTGTACTCCCCTCCACCCCACCAAAAAAAAAAAAAAGTTATTCAGGAAAGTTAGGTAAAAAGTGGAAAAAAGGTAAGGAAAATTTACTTATTTATGTATATTTTGTTCCTTCAAAATTTTGCTGCCTATTAGCAATTATGAGGAGCTCTGGTAGCATAGTGGTTACAAATCGGGCTGTGAACCACAAGGTCAGCAGTTCAAAACTACCAGCTGTTCCACAGAAGAAAGATGAGGCTTTCTGCTCCCATAAGGATTTATGGCCTCAAAAACCTGTAAAGGGTCGCTATGAGTTGGAACCAAATCCACGGCATATAACCATAACCAAATTAGCATTGTAAATAATAACTGGCTTTTAAGAAAGGATTCAAAATACACACTCACAGTAGTTGATATAGAATTTATATTAATGAAAATGAAATGGCAGTAGAGTAGATGAACAACACCATGAACATAGTTAATATCAGCTGTACAGTAAAGATTATTAAAATGTCAAGTGTTTTGTTACATACTTACCAAAGTAGAAAGAGAGAGAGAATGAAGAGACATTACAAAATGCAATGCCAGACA